GACAGCACAGTATCCCCTTAGGGCTTTTTGGAGCTAATCAACAGGTAGCTGGTAATGTCCCCCTTCCTTGGAAAAAATTGTTTAAGAAGTGCTTGAACTAATGAGAGAGCCTTTTGTTTTGGTAATGGACTGATAAACACTGAGTTAGGGGTGATAAACACTGTTATCAACTCCCTGGTGGGCTGCTCAGGAGAGGGGGGAACCCCTCCATAATCAGAGTGCCCTGCTGGGCCCTGGCCATACCCCCCTCAGCTGAGCACTGTTGAAGGGAAGGGAGGGCTGCTTTAGTGCCCCCCAGCTTGTAGCCTGAGCCACTGTAGGCATGTGCCTGCATTTTTTTCAGTCTAGAGGGGATGTCTGTGTGGCTACAAACCAGTTCAGCCTAGCCAAGTTAAACTAACCTGCAAAGATTGAAACAATTCAGACTCAGACTTTTTGACTGTCTGTCTCTAGCCCCTCTGTCCAGCCATGGCTGGATCAGGCCTCACACCACCTGAGCCTGTCCCTATACTGTCAGCCCTGGGGGGCCTTGGGGGGCCTGATCTATCACGCAGGGCCATACTATCCAGCCCGTGGAACTCCCCACAGGTCCAGAAATTTGGCAGCAAGGGAGCAGCAATGAAGACTGTCCAGCTCCCTTTCTATCAAATTGTCAGACCCTTGGAGAGCCTGGCAGGCCAGATGACACTGCTCCACAGGCCAGATCTGGCCCTTGGACCTGGAAGTTGAATATCCCTGCTGTAGACTTAGTCAGATTTGTTCTGTTTTCAGTAGCTACTGCAGAAGAGGATGACTTCTTGCTGCAGTTGTGATACTTCTTAAAAGTGTCTACATTGTTGTTAGCTTAATAACAATGAGGGTGGCCAGCCAGCAGCACACATGACACAAGTGGCCTCTGAATGTGACATATGGCAGATGGGGAAGGGGACAGACAGCACAGAAGCTAATAGAGCAGGAAGGAAGAGATACAGCAGCAGACTGGGTCGGGGCATAGGGCAGGGAGCAGAAAGCAGAGCAGTTGATTGGACAGGGGAAGGGCATCAGAGTAGCAGTTAGGAAGGGTGCCTGAATTTATGGCATGCCTGTCAAAAAGGCTGGCCCTCGCTGGGTTAGCTCTTTACTGTTGTAATAAATTGCCAGAGTTTCTGAGGATGCTTGTTCTTAAAACATGGCCAAGATCTGATTTTCCAATAAAAAATAAAAATTGGGACACTGGTCAGTAACCTCTTAACTGCTTACCATTCCCCATGACAGAATTACCACTTCCAAAATCAGAAGACGAACTGCAGAACTCCAGATGGCCATTGTAATAGAGCAGAGGGACTTGCTTGAGTCTCCAGAACATGCCAAATTGAAATATAGAAAGAACCCAGACTTGTGGAAAGCTCTGCTTTTCTCCAAAATTGAATCACAGCGCACAGTCAAGGTCTGATATGCTATTACTGTTTTTTGAGTTAGGAATTGGTGTATGTGCTATATGTGAATTTGAAGATAGAAGGGAGAGTTGCAGTCATGCAAAATGGAGAAAGCGTTTTGTATGTGGTTTGTTGGATTATGGTTATGCACCGTATTTTCTGTCCATCTAAAAGCAATGGCAGGTTGGCTTATTTTGTGAAATAAGCCTGTGTCTGTCACTGGAAAACCACCTGTATTTAGAATAAAAATCCTCGAATAACATCCCTTTTAGGTCTGCACAAATATAATGCCAACAGCCATTTTACAAAAATCAACAAATAGCTACATCTCCCCTCCTTGGTACTTGTCCAGGTTACTTGTCATAGTTTCATAGTTGGTAGGGTCGGAAGGGACCTGAGCAGATCATCAAGTCCAACCCCCTGCCATAGCAGGAAAGAGTACTGGGGTCAAACAGCCCTGGCCAGGTGTTCATCCAGGCTTCTCTTAGAGACCCCCAGGGTAGGAGCCAGCACCACTTTGCTTGGAAGTTGGTTCCTGATCCTAGCCGCCCTGATGGTGACGTAGCGCCTCCTGATATCTAGCCTAAATCTACCCTCTGCCAGCTTGTGACCATTATTTCTAGTCACTCCTGGCAGTGCTCAGGGGAACAGGGACTCCCCCAGTGCCTGCTGGTCCCCTCTGACTAATTTGTAACAGGCCACTAGATCCCCCCTCAGCCTTCTCTTGTGGAGGCTGAACAGGTTCAGGTCCCGTAGCCTGTCCTCGTAGGGCCTGCCCTGCTGCCCCCAATCATGCGAGTGGCCGTCCTCTGGACCCTCTCGATGCTGTCCACATCCCTCTTGAAGTGTGGCGC